TAATTCCCGATAAATTATAATATAGATAACTCAAGTAATTAAATAACTATGAAACAACACTGCTGTACTTTTCAAGTTCAAAATGAACAAAAATAGTCTCCAGGCCTTCGACAATCGTCTGTTTAACTTTATTTCGATATTTGATATATATTTTTCCCCTCTTGCAGTATTTTCCGCTCTTGATGAACAATGTAATTTAACTCTATAACGAGCTGTAGTCAAAATAAAGGATGCGAGCACACAATCACTCAATCACTCGCTTCGAGAAATATTCTCTTTGTGAGTTTTGTCCCCATGGGACGGGAGAGCCAGCGTCAACAAGCACACACGGACGACTGCAACACCGAACCATGTAATTGAGAGCGTTGTTGCCTGTCAGGGCCAGCGCTGCCCTACGGCACACAAAAAGTGTTGCTGTGTGTGTGTGTGTGTGTGTGCGTGTGTGTGTGTGTGTGTGTGTGTGTGTGTGTGTGTGTGTGTGTGTGTGTGTGTGTGTGTGTGTGTGTGTGTGTGTGTGTGTGTTCAGGTTGCAGCTTTAGATCTTGGACTCCAACTTTTCATATGTCGGTCATTAAATGTCAGGACTCATGATGGAGGACATCTCCTCCCACATTTAAAATTGTGGATTGACTTGGATTCTGCTCCATCCCCGAGTAGTTCATTCCACTGTTATATTATTCGCACATTAAAGGGTCACTTCCCAGGTCCCTGTGGCTCATCAGTCCCCAGCTTCCCTGCTCTACTCTCTCGCTCTATTTATTTCACATATTTCATTTTTTTTCCAGTCTGTCAATTGTGTAATTTTTCTTTTATCATGTTTCCAATCTTGGCTTTCCTGGAGCGTATCTAACATGGGTTATGTATATATATCCTAAACCAAATAGTGCTGAATGCCTCTCTGCCTGTTTAGCTCTCTGTAAGTGGTTGTGGATTATGAGGTTTCGTAATGTAGGGCTCGTCAGTGTCTACTCAACAAGATTTATGTTTGCAGGGTTGAGCTTTAGTTCCCAAGTCCCGACTTTGCAGCTGCTGGCCATGTTATTGCAATGACTCTCATTCGTCATATTTCACGTCGCATTTTCATCAGAAGGTTCTTATTGAATTCAGTTTTACAGTCTCTTTCTCGTTGTCCATTATATATGGTGGGATTCTTTGGAGAAATTGTAGTGCTTCCTTAGATGTTTCTTTTTTCCTCTGTGTCTCTAGTCTTCGCCCGTGGCTTCCTGTCCGACCGTGTCTCATGTGGCCGTGTCTGTGTCTACTTCCAGTACTCCTTGTCTTGTGTACTGTTATCATGTCTCTAGTTGTGTACTATGTACTGTTATCATGTCTCTGGCGGCCGAGCGTACTCAGCTCCTCGTCCCCTTTGTCTCCACTTTTTCAACTTTGTAGTTTTTTTTAGAAGTTTAGGATTCCAGGACGTTGTTGCACTGCACTGTACCGACATTTCGGTTCCAGTAGATGAACGACATATGAGATTCAGAAACAAGTAGTGTATTGTGAGGGCTAATAATAAACAGAAGCTCCCCTATGACTCTGTAATATCCCCATTCGTCAAACTATTATGTATTAGCGATAAGACCTACCATTAATGTATGATGATTTACTGTAAATATGTAGCTCTTGAAATAGCACTTTCTCTGTAACTAGCTGACATTTTAAGTATAAGGTGTGAAGGATAGATGAAATTGTTTATGTAATAATCTAAAATGAGGTCTGATAAAGACCTTTTGTGCCCTCTGTAATGCTTTTGCGCTACCGCTCACAGGATGAGTATGGGGTGCACAATAAACTAGCCGCCTTCGGCGGCAACAATCAAACTTGGGAGTTGGTCTCACATTGGTTGTATTTAGAGCCAGCTGGAGAACTTAGTTTGTTCACGTATTCTTCTGCTGGTGAAGAATTATAATACACACAGAAACCACATTAACGTGATGTAAGAATGAACAAATCCACATGAGCTGTGATAAGGGTTCGAACCTATGCGTAGGGAGGGTTCCCAGACAACGCTCGAGTCGACTACGTCACGACATGGTAAAAAGAATTGCAAGCTAAAGTACAACTTTGTTTTAAGTAGTACTCTTACTACCCAACTCCAAGTGGTAACAACTCCCAACATCACCTCAATTTTAGCAAACCGTTATGATTTTTAGCACTTAATTTTTTTTTTTTTAGGGAATTTATAGTTCAAAATGCGACGTTCTGTACTATTCGAGAGGACGGGTTAGTGAGCGCTGTTAAAACTGGAAAATTTTATTTTGAATTTGTAATACTGTATTTAGTGTATAGGAAAAAATAGTAAGTTGGCCTGGTTGTTACTGTAATTACTATCGTAAGCTGGTTGCTAGTGCTGCAGCCTCCTTTCAGGCTGTTGCACTAGGCAGGTTTGAGTTCAATTCCCGAATGATACTAGGTACAAAGGCTTGTCCGATCCAAAACAAATTATTTTCACAGAATTTTATTTACTTTTATATTTTTACATATATATATATATGTATATATATATATATATTTTTACACAACATTTAGCATTCCTAAGATGGACTTTGTAACACAGCAACTCTTTATAAACATATATATATATATATATATATATATATATATATATATATATATATATATATATATATATATATATATATATATATATATTCATACATGTACACATATAAACATTACAATTCTCAACAAATTTACATATTTTTACATGTTCAGTAAATTGTTAAACAACATTTAACATCTATGTGTAGTTATCTAACTTCCACCACACCCGACCCGCTGGGAACGGGGAAATAGCCTTGATTATAATGACACTAAGTGTATTATGTTACAACAGTCAGTATATATATATATATAATGGCTTCCTCAATAATAATAACAGTGACATTTGAATGATCATAATAATATAAATTACACGTATATATATATATATATATATATATATATTGCATTCTGGCTACTAGGTACGACATATATATATATATATATATATATATATATATATATATATATATATATATGTCGTACCTAGTAGCCAGAATGCACTTCTCGGCCTACTATGCAAGGCCCGATTTGCCTAATAAGCCAAGTTTTCCTGAATTAATATATTTTCTCTAATTTTTTTCTTATGAAATGATAAAACTACCCATTTCATTATGTATGAGGTCAATTTTATTTTATTGGAGTTAAAAATAACGTAGATATATGACCGAACCTAAAAAACCCTACCTAACCTAACCTAACCTATCTTTATAGGTTAGGTTAGGTTAGGTAGCCGAAAAAGTTAGGTTAGGTTAGGTTAGGTAGGTTAGGTTGTCGAAAAAACTTTAATTCATTAAAACTTGGCTTATTAGGCAAATCGGGCCTTGCATAGTAGGACGAGAAGTGCGTTCTGGCTATTAGGTACGACATATATATATATATATATATATATATATATATATATATATATATATATATATATATATATATATATATATATATATATATATATATATATATATAAGAAGTGTCTGAACTACTGGTAGTCTCCTGTATATACACGAGCCTCTCTCTCTCTCCTTATCTCTCACTATCTCTGCAGCTTTCATTACAACTACATAATCAGAGACTCATAAACAGTGGTCGCTGGAGCCCGTTTTCTTGTCGTGTATAACTCTTAACAAAGTCCGTCCCTTTGTGAAGATCAGGTCTGACTTTTGTTAATTGTTCTTACTTATTTTTGTCCCTTCCTCATCCTCCGGCATGCTCGTGTCTCTCTACTGCTTCAACCAGCTTCGCTCTTCATGTTTCTTGTTCCATTCTGGGATTCATTGCTAGTCAACTTGTTCGAGGATGATGTCTTCAATTACTAATAGCATTGGTAGGAATGTAAGGCTTGTTTTCAAACACGTTTTCTTCGTGTATTCGTGTCCTTGCTTGATCTTCTATGATTCTCTGTCCCAATCACTAAGCCCTTTCACGGCACTGCAACAGTCGTCATAATTGGTTCCCTCTTAACCACTCATCTTGACAAACTTGTTATGTGCGTGCGTGTGTGTGTGTGTGTGTGTGTGTGTGTGTGTGTGTGTGTGTGTGTGTGTGTGTGTGTGTGTGTGTGTGTGTGTGTGTGTGTGTGTGTGTGTGTGTGTGTGTGTGTGTGTGTGTGTGTGTGTGTGTGTGTGTGTGTGTGTGTGTGTGTGTGTGTGTGTGTGTGTGCGTGCGTGCGTGTGTGTGTGTGTGTGTGTGTGTGTGTGTGTGTGTGTGTGTGTGTGTGTGTGTGTGTGTGTGTGTGTGTGTGTGTGTGTGTGTGTGTGTGTGTGTGTGTGTGTGAGTGTGTGCGTGTGCGCGCACCGTTATTGTTATTTCTGGGACTGGTTTCATTGTGATTCCCCGGAGTTATTTCAAGTGATATATATTCCAATGCTAATTCAAAAGTAATCCAAGGGAATATATCAAATGTTATATTTCCAGAGAATCTCGTTGGGTATGTGCAAAGTTGTGAATATTTCTGGTATATACCTAGTATACCTGTATGTATTATATTCGTAATACTAACAGTATAGGATTTGCAGTATTATTAACTTTTTTTCCCTAAAATATTTAAGAAATTTCGTAAAATAATTTCAATATTTTTCCTCTAAAAATTCCAAGTCTTTTTCGTAAGAAAATTCCAGTATTATTTCCAGAGATATTATTTCCTGATTTATATTTTAGATAATTTATAGGTTAGTTTTCAAGAATGTATCTGTAAGTGTTTACAAAATATATGCAGGCGATGAGTAACATGGCTGAAGTATGTTGACCAGACCACACGCTAGAAAGTGAAGGGACGACGACGTTTCGGTCCGTCTTGGACCATTCTCAAGTCGATTGTGAATGGTCCAGGACGGACCGAAATGTCGTCGTCCCTTCACTTTCTAGTGTGTGATCTGGTCTACAAAATATATATTTAAGATTTACGGTATAGTACTTTTGTAAGTGTCTTATCGCAAGCCTAAAGTACATCCAGGAGGGGGGGGGGGCGGGGAGTGTGGGGGACGAGGTCACACCACTGTCACGGAATGTGACGCTGCCATAAGGTCACATCACTGATATGGAGGGTTGGTGATGTGACACACTCACACCACTGGCAGGGAGGGATGTGGCTGACACCACATGGAAGTAGATAGTCAATACCACTGGTAAAACGGTTTTGTGTTGCGTCGTAAGCTCACACACCACTGGTAGGGACGACTAGTGGTGATCTCACACACCACTGGTAGGGACGACTAGGTGTGGTGATCTCACACACCATTGGTAAGCATCTCCTCAGGTTCTGTAAGATAAAAGGAAAACAAAGTATAAGAAATCTCTCTCCACACACACACACACACACACACACACACACACACACACACACACACACACACACACACACACACACATATATATATATATATAAGAACAATATGAAGATAGCTATCATCACAGACCATCGCAGTCCTAAAACAGTTTTCTGTGATCATGGGTTTAACCCTAGCCGCCTAGCGGATTGGTCAGGGAGAGTACATCTCTATGTCTGGTCGCACACGGCATGATAGCCGTCTAATCGCATTCGACATGATAGCCGTCTGGTCGCACACGGTATGATAGCCGTCTGGTTGCACTTGACATGATAGCCGTCTAATCGCATTCGACATGATAGCCGTCTAGTCGCACACGGTATGATAGCCGTCTGGTCGCACTCGACATGATAGCCGTCTGGTCGCACTCGACATGATAGCCGTCTGGTCGCACTCGACATGATAGCTTAAATGTCCTGAAAGAGACATGTTATGTACACTCAGGTAACCATTAGTGGGTGTCAATAAGATCCCGTGGAACTACTGTGTGAGTCGGGTCGTTCAGTGTGGGAGCTCCACTGTCAGTGTGTGTGTGTCGTGTTGGACAGTACAAGAGCTCCACTGTCAGTGTGTGTGTGTCGTGTTGGACAGTACAAGAGCTCCACTGTCATTGTGTGTGTGTCGTGTTGGACAGTACAAGAGCTCCACAGTCAGTGTGTGTGTCGTGTTGGACAGTACAAGAGCTCCACTGTCAGTGTGTGTGTCGTGTTGGACAGTACAAGAGCGAGACTGTCAGAGTATTTTGTGTGAGGCTGATTGAGGCTTCTATTGTCAGAGTCTGTTGTTTTGAGTCTTGTCTGAACTCCATCTGGGTTCATTGCCCGTGTTGATGTCTTTGTAGTAAACACTAACCACCCTTTCATCTATATCACACAAACGATAGCAAAACAAAGACAGCAGAATATATAATTAATAGCAGAAGACACAAAGCAGAAATAATTGGAAGAGACAACATCATTACTGTCACCGCTAACTACTGCTTCTCCAACACTAACGGAATCATTATCTCCGAAATTAACATGACCCACATCCCAGCAACAATATTATCAGCAATATCAACTCACCTTCAACAGCATTATTCTCACCTATAACAGCAATAATAATCGCAGCACCAACTCTAACATCACTTCTGACTTCAACCATAACATCACTCTAACCATAACATCACTTCCTCCCCAAAATAACATCACCTCCACCCCAACAATAACATCACCTCCACCCCAACAATAGGAACACAACAAAAGCACCTACAGCATTAACATCTCAAATAACCAAACAATGGCATTACTGACTAAAAGACAAGCATCATGAAACTGCCTAGATGATACATATTTATATACCAAGCAGCGTTTACTGTGAGGTTGTATAGCACTGCACAGTACTAACTGTTGGTCTGTCTAGTATAGCTGTATGTTCCTCTGTCCTGTATGTAGGACAGCTGGGAACATCCAGAACTTATAGGCAAATTTATATATATATTTTGCCATAATTGGTCATTCTTCATTGGTGGCAGCGGTGGGATTCCCAACTGAATGTAATTTTGCTTCTTTTTTATAACATATAATATGAAAAATTTTGTGCATTTCAAATTAAAAACCAAATAATCTGAATATTAGAGCTCGTATCATTGTAACTAGATTATTTTTTATTATGGACATTTGAGTTTCATAATGATTAATTTCAGCAATTTATTCACATTATATATCTTTATGCTCTGTAAGTCTGAATAAATATCAACAAGCTTTTAAACTAAATATTAAATCAAATTGAATTGTGTAATCTGTGTGACGTGAATGTGTCTGCTATTAATCACAATCATTAATTATATTACCGAATAAATGTTATATATATTTTATATAGAGGGAATTTTTAATTGTATGGGTTTTACTTTGATCTATATATTTACTAGATGTGTACCTGGCAGTGCCCTTATCCCCCCCCCACTCCCTCTTTTCTCTTCCCCCCCCCCTATCTCCCCTCTTCTCAATTCCCCCTCATCCTTCCCTATTCCATTCCACTCTCCCTCCTCTTCTCCCATCTCTCTCTTGTCTCCCACAGAACATGCAATCTCAAAAAACTCGCAATGCAATCACAATGTTATTTTTACAGTGTTTACTTTCATGCAATGTTGTAAGAACATAACAACAACGTTTTTTAACTGTGTATAAGTTGGGATGTTATAAAGAGCTGGGAGTCGCTGGGAATTGGAATAGGAGCTGATTCATCTTAAAGGAGGGCACTGGGGCCGACCCGGACTGGCCTATGATAGAGCCATTCCACCCATGTGTCATATTGGAGAGTCTGGCTTCCGATTTTGGACACAAACATTTTTTTCAGATATATAGATTTAATTTATTGTTAATTATTCAAAAAAATTAAACTTTGCTTAAAGATTTTATTCTTAGTTTTTGACAATATATTTTTATGTTGACTATATTTGCCAATTACTATTTTCTTTTATTTATAATTCTTCTTTTATTACTATTCCTGGATTCCGCTTAGATGTACTATTTTGATAATTCAATAATGTTTGTCAACTCAGTATCATATTTATGCTAGAAATTACACATATTATTGTCGACGATTATTTGAACCTCTCTGGTTGATGTTTAGATGTGCTGTATGTAAACTGTTTACCACACTAACATGGATAATAACATTTCATTCACCTGGGCACTGGGAGCCTCGAACACCCGACCTCCAGCGCGGGAGACAGTCACTCTATCAACTGCGCCACTGAGCTAGCCTGAAACGGGAAGGATTCCATGGCACCTCAGTAGCACAGTTGATGGAGCGACTGCCTCCCGTGCTGGAGGTCGGGTGTTCGAGGCTCCCAGTACCCAGGTGAATGACATGTTATTAGCCATTGTTATTGCTAATTATTTAATTAGGAGGCCTAATTCCTGTCCAGGAGGCCTGGTCGACGACCGGGCCGCGGGGACGCTAAGCCCCGGAAGAACCTCAAGGTATCCATGTTAGTGTGGTAAACAGTTTACATACAGCACATCTAAACTTTAATTAAAGAGGTTAAAATAATAATCGACAATAATATGCATAATTCCTAGGATAAATATGATACTGAGTTGGCAAACATTATTGAATTATCAAAATACTACATCTAAACGGAACCAGGAATAGTAATAAGAGAAGAATTATAAATAAAAGGGCGCGCAGCCCCCTGCGCGCAAAAAAGTTCCCAACAGCGTCGTCGAATTAATAAGTCGGTTCCAGTTAAAAGTCTAAACAAGTGAAAAATATAATTCCGTCAAAAATGTGAACTCCCCGCCTGTTAGCGGGTGCGTTTTTAATGGCGTAATTGCAGCTTTGACCAGCTGTCTCGACAACATCATTTTTACCGTTACTATGGTGACGTACGTCCGGATTGTCGTCTGTGGGATTATGTGTCAAGCAACTGGGAAATGATCGGACTAGAAATATTTATATCTAGGAGAGGCTTGGGGGGACAGGGTCGGGGAGTTAAGTTTGAACAACAGGTGATATAGTTCGTCAACCTTGTTGACCAGACTACATACCAGAAGGTGAAGAGACGACGACGTTTCGGTCCGTCCTGGACCATTCTCAAGTTGACTTCAGAATGGTCCAGGACGGACCGAAACGTCGTCGTCCCTTCACCGTCTAGTGTGTGGTCTGGTCAACTTACTTTAGCCACGTTATTGTGACTTATCGCCTGCTTCTGTATGTTGTGCGCCTTACTCGGTACCTTGTGTAGCTCCTGAGGACCATAGAACACCATCATGTTACACCAGCTCCCCAACGCCACACACCGGGACCTCTGCGTCTTCCTGTGTTGTGATTCATGCTTCTCAGTTATTCTAACTCTTACATGAAGCTTTATGAGACTGAAGACTCACAATATTCTCCTTTACGCTTTTTTTATATGATCAATTCTCAGTCTTGGTGGCCATGATTGTGGCACACTCATCTTGGGGTTCGTTGGCTGTTGCCGTGATAACTGACGCCATCGCTGGCCGTTCAGTAGCGCACTCAATGTCCTACCCACTCTTTGGGGAGGACCTTGGACTCGCTCTTCCGATGAGAGTATGAGTGAGGAACCGGTAACACTCTACACATGTTCCATGAGTGTGCTGTCAGCCGACCAAGCTCAGCTGTGCCGAGGGCTTGACGAGAGAGACTGTGAGAGTAAGGAGTGATGGAAGGGTGGGAGATGAGGAAGAGGAGGCTGAAGGCATGGGAGGGAGAGGGAAGGGGAGCCTAGTACTGCAATCACTCTCCCATAAAAAACTTATAAAAGACCCTGTCTAGACGATGAGTTAGGAGAGTGAGGAAGCAGAGGGAGGGGGAGAGAGGTGAGAGGTAGTGAGAGAAAAGAAAGAGGCATTGGGAGTGAACGAGGAGACAGGGAGGGATGAAAGAGAGATGGATGAAGAAGAGAGAGAATAAGGAAAGAGGGAGTGAACGCAGGGGAAAGAAAGAGAGAGAGAGAGAGAGACACACACACACACACACACACACACAGTTTGAACAACTGAAGGGGCCTCGTAGCCTGGTGGATAGCGCGCAGGACTCGTAATTCTGTGGCGCGGGTTCGATTCCCGCACGAGGCAGAAACAAATGGGCAAAGTTTCTTTCACCCTGAATGCCCCTGTTACCTAGCAGTAAATAGGTACCTGGGAGTTAGTCAGCTGTCACGGGCTGCTTCCTGGGGTGTGTGTGTGTGGTGTGAAAAAAAAAGAAAAGAAAAAAGTAGTTAGTGTAGTTAGTAAACAGTTGATTGACAGTTGAGAGGCGGGCCGAAAGAGCAAAGCTCAACCCCCGCAAACACAACTATGTGAATACACACACACACGCGCGCCTGAAATTATACACTCATAGTAATTTAACAATCAACAAAGCCGGAACAATATATGTCAAGGGATGTACATAGGGCATAATCCTCACATAATCCTCTGGC